AAAAAAAAAAACACTAGTATTTTGGCGCGTGGGAAAATAATGGGCCTCTGGCGGGCCTCCGACCTTTTCGGAGGCCGAAACGAATCTATGGCCGCCGATCAGATTTATCAATGGCAGCCGTCGTTGGGCCCGGCCTCCGAAACTTGGGGAAACGTCCACTTTTCCCTATTTTCCCAACACTGGCGGAGGTACTAGTGGTTTAACTTCAGCAGCACCTAAAACAATGAGCTGTTTTCCCAAATAGGCTACCAGCCGGGCTAAAAAAAAATGAAAAATACAAATAAAAACAGTGTTTTAAAATTTTAATTTTTGTTCTCAATTTGGTGAAGAATTTCGATGCGATGCTGAGGCAAAAGTTGTTCAGTTTATTTTTCTGCATAACATAGTTTTTGTTTTTTCGGATTTTTTGGAGTTCATTATTTTTATGTTGTTTTTGCTGGGACCTTCCCTGGTCCTTGTCCGGGCGCTGGTCACCCCGGACCCGGGCGGCCGGGCTGGTAGCCTAGCTGTTTTGCATATTTGAAAAACATTCCAACAAAAAAATAAATTAAAAAAAATCCAACGGCTGCTGGAATAACTACTGGAGTTTTTTTTTTGTCCAACGCTTCATGAGATTCCGTCATGCAAAATTCAAGCAGTCCCCGAACATGAATTCTCTTCATGGTCTTTCCCCGTCGATCTTATTAGAAAAACTTTTTTTTTTTTTTTTTCACTTCTTCTGACGAGCAGAACAGGTTTGAACACACAAATATATATTCAGCCTCCTGATGAGTCGGTGAAACTCCGACGAAACAGTTTGTCACAGCCTCTCGTTTGTTGTCCTCTTTTCCCTCTCTGCATACGGTTTACCGGGCAGTTCTATTTGACGATATATATATTTCGATGTCTTCGTTCATTCTGGGTCACAGAAATTGTACATGGTATGCCATTACATAAGTGCAAGTTTTCTTCCACGTGCAGCGGGGCATTCGGTATCTTGACGTGACGTTCCTCCTCTAAGATTGAGCTTTGGAATCTTCGATACGTTTATCTTTAGCAATGCAGATTTATTTGTTCTTCCCCCACAATGCTTGTAACAAACAATTGAGACGTTTTTTGTTGTGTAATCAGAGATGTATTGGACATGCTTTTGAAGAGTTCGGACAACCTCTTCTCTTCACTGATTGTTAGGATAGAGAGTACTTTAATCTGCTCTCGGAGTTTTTTTTTCTGCATGCAAGGAAGTCGATATATACAAGTGGGGGTTTTAATCTGATTGCTCTGCTGGGGTCCACCTTGTTAGGATAGAGTACTTCAATCTCATTGCTTTGATGTTTTGCAAGCAAGGCTGCGGCGAAGGACGATGACAAAAACATTTTGCGAAACACCACAGCGATCAGTTGGACCCCGTCTTTGCAACGTAGAATACCGCCCAACTTTGCAAAATGCCCTGGCAGTTGCCAAGTTTTTTAGAAGGCCAAGCGAAGTTGCACACTCACCTGACAGGGGCACAACACAAACACATCAGTCCAAAAGGCCATTCCACTGTGCCCATATCTTCTAGGGACATTTTGACATATATCTAAACTTATGGGGGTATTTGGAAAATTACAACCTCCCCCCCCCAAAAAAAAAGGAGACTCTCTCTCTCTCTCTCACACACACACACACACATACACACACACACACACACACACACACAAGAGAGAGAGAGAGAGAGAGAGAGAGAGTGTACTTCCATCGATAGGATGAGCAAAAGAGAATGAATCTACCGCTAGAATATTGTAATATACACTACTACTCATGCGTGTGTGTGTGTGTGTGTGTGTGTGTGTGTGTGTGTGTGTGTGTGTGTGTGTGTCTGATTCCTTCCGATTTTCCTCATCCTATCGATGGA